AAAGGTGTGACCACTTTGAAAATAAACACAATAACGAATTAATAAAACTTGGTTATGATATCAGGGAAAACAAAACAAGACTCTAAAAAATATTTATTTCAAATTTTAATTGTATTAATTGTATTAATTGTCTTTTGACTTATGCTTTGGACTTTTCAAAGTATATTTCAGATTCAATATTAATTGAAGATTATTTGGACAACATTAACACAATTAAACATTCGTGCCCAAATACATTTCAAGAACTTTCTGACATTAGAGATTTTATTCTCAACTCTATAGATCCCATTGTATTAAAATATGCTCGTGTAATAAATGGAGGTGTTCAACATCTACTTAATTATGTATATTTTCCAAATATTATCATTAATTTAACAGAAAAAATACCAAAAAATAACAATACAACATGTATTTCACAAAGAAATGAAACGCAGACAGAAATTGACAATAATACAGAACTAGAAGATGTTGAAACTGTAAGTAATTGTACACAAGAAAGGTTTTTAACAAGAACAATACAAATTCCAGAAGTACAACAATTATCAAATAAAAACAAAGAACCAAAATTGACAACAAATGAGCTGACTTTAAAACAACTCGCTTCAATTGAAAAAATCAAAATACTTCGAAATTGTATAAAAAGTGAAAATCGAACTTTTGATGTTGAAACTATAACCGCAAAAATATTGGAAAAATCAGTTTCGGAAGCCTTTGAAACACAAAAAAAATAAAAGGTAATTTTTCTGATCACAAATTGAATTCACAAAACGAATATATAACTATATTATTTGCAATTGTGTCAAAGGCAACTTCAATGACTGAAACACAAATAAATGGAATGAGGTCTGAGTTATTGGTTGCACTTAAACTTCTAGCTGAAAAGGGTGGAAAGGGGCTTTCAATATCATATGAAACTGTCACCCGAAGAGCTTCACTTATACCAATTGTAGAAAAAGAAGAAATTACAAACAATTTTGATAAATGTGTTGGATATGGAATTTCAACAGATTCTTCAACATATGGTGATCATTATCTCTCTCTTTATGCAAGATTTGTTTATAAAGATTGTTAACTGTTTTTCAAAAGTCGGTACTGAGGTGTCCCGATTTTTTGCATTTATTTTGTTTGTTATTTTTTGGAATCGTTTTTTTGTAATAAATTCGCTTATTTTTTCCAAGTAAAAAAGAGAAAAACAGTCTTCAAAAAATATTTTTTTACTTGAAAAATTTTTAAGCATTAAAAAATTCCATATAAATTTGAAATAACAGGATTTTTGTTTCATAAAAACACACGAATGATCCCAAAAGTGCGTTTTAGTACAAAAGCAAATAAATTTAATGTCAATCTTTTTCATTATCAAACATTTTATTAATTAATGAAATATTCACAAAACAAAAGCTTAGTTCGAAGATTAGTATGCTTAATAGTGTTGTCACAAAAACAATAAAAATAACAAAATGATTTGATAACTTATCTTTGTTGGGTTTTATAAAGTCGACATTCCTTTTGAGCATTTCAGTGAGAATATCTTTTTTAAAATATCCAATAACAAAACAATATTGTTATTTTGTATTATTTTTCTAGTGTTGCCCTTTGACAATTTGACTTATGCCTGTCAAAATTATCAAACATTTGCTGTAATTTTTGGTGGTTTTGGAACTCTTTATTTCATTATTTTTTATTCAGAGAAGATAACCACAGTTTGTTTTTAATTGAAAATATTTTTTAACGAGAGTAATATTCAGTTAAAACTCGACACAAACAACACCATCCAAATTCACTTAAACGTTAATTGTTGTGCTTTTAGGTTAACAATGCTGTGTATATGTTGCGAAGTATCGAGTTATGGTCAAATCAAATAACGGGATCGGGTTTTTTGGAAAAAGATGGCCAATATTCCGATATTTTCCCGAATTTGTAAGAAAATAATACAACGGTATTGGTATTTTTTTCAAAATAAAGTCGGTACTTTCGATTTTTTGTTTTTATTTTTTGGGAAAAAACGAAAATAAAAAACGGGACTTTAGGAAGTTCTATAAATATGACAGTACAGACTTTTGAAAAACAGTTTACATTCGAAGAAAAAAGGTTAAGTATTTGCAGATATTACGATTCAAAAAACGCGATTAACTGGACAAAGTGGATCGATAAAATTGTGTGTAGTGTTTACAATTCCAATTTTTCAAAATTGTGTTCATTTTGTAGTGATGGAGATATAACATTGAAAAGTAATGATAATGGTGTCGCAGGAAATCTTACTGAAATTGTTGAAAGAGATGGAGGCTTGGTCGAGTGTTTTTTGGATAATTATTGTTGTGACCATAGATTAAACATATCAAGCAAAATTGTATTTGAAAGTTGTTATGGGTACATTGTTGACAAATATTTGAGTGAAATACCCAAAGAACAAAATCGAAATTTGTTAATTCAGTATTTTACACATTATGACTTGAAAAGTGTGATGAACAAAGTGAGCCGTCTTTGTAAAACAAGATTTCTTTACACTGTTTTAGTATCAAATTGGGTGTTTGAATATTATAAAGAATTTGTAAATTTTATATTGTTGTCTGGTGTTGAACAAAACATCTCCACAAACATACCAAATGACACTGAACTTGGTGTGGTGTCTTTTACAAATCCAGTATTTGTAGGTGTTGTATATTTTGTCAATGTGTTAATGACAGAAATGAAAGCTCTGAGTGACTGGTTACAAACTGATGGCCTTTTGTTTTTTATGGCTTATAAAAGGATAGAATTGTATATCAAACATTTATTTGATATACGAGTTTTAATTAAAAGTGGCAACTTTAAATACTTCAAAAAGTATTTGTATTGTGGAATCATTGATCCAAATGAAAGAGAAAGTTTCTCTCAAATTTGTATATCTATCCTTGATCATTTTCTTGGGACTGTCATGGAACAATTTGCCATTCCAAATAGAAAGTTAAAAATTGAAGAGAAAAATCGATTAGTACAGACGAACGATGGGTTGCTTGTAGTCACAAGTTTTGAACAGTTTCAAACAATCAGACGACGATTTATGAGAGAAGAAGTTGGTGAGGAGTTCTGGCTTCTTTATGATCTTTCTGAATTACCCAACAATGTAGAAATGTGTATTGAAAAGTACCCATTTTTAGAGGAGGAAATAAATAAAGTTTTTAGTTATTACAAAGAACACTTTGACACTCAAATTGGTGATATACTTCATCCTATTCAAACCGATTCAAACAGAACAAGACATGTTGATAACGTTGAAGAATGTGTAGATGACGAACTTACACTTTGTTCGGATGTTTTAAAATTTACAGAAGAAATAACTATGGACCAAATTCTAGTAAAAAACAACGCATTTTAGAAGTAAAAGTAGCCGAAAAGAAAAGAGAAAACGTTATTAAATCCAATTTGTTTAATGACTGTCCTTTGCCTCAAAACACTTTACATTCTTTGTTGTTATCAATGTCTCAAATGGAACGTGATGATTTACAAGGTCTATGTTTAACCCTTCCAGTACCAGAAATCAACAAAATTTAATTTTTATTTTTTTTCAAAAATTTTCAAAAAAACAAAACCCAATTCCAAAATTCTGAAAAGTTGACAGTAAAATTACCATTTTATAGTTCATGAAAGCCAGTAAAAAGAAAGTATAAACAAATAACCGTCATTTTTTTAAAACAACAGAAAAACTGAATAAGTGAGTAGCAATTTGTATCGAGTGTAACAATTACTTGTTGTTTATAATAAAAAATAATTCAAAAAGTATAACAAGTGTTAAAAATGCCAAATGTTTCGAAGATACGAAAAAGAATTTAAAAATTGTAGTTTACCGTTCATATTGTATAGTTTTATTATTATATATTTACTATAATGACAACAAAAAAGATGAATTAAAATAATTGGTTTAAATTTAAAAGTATAGTTTATTCGTTGAACCCTTATGTGGGGTTATGTGTGTTACTTGCTAATTCATTGAACATTTTCACTTTTTTGTCCCTTTCATGTATCAACATATCACTCTTCTTCATTTCTGTTATATAATTTCGTTTTTCGACGCTTTTATCGTTTATTTTTGTTATAGACAAAAGATATTACATCATAACAAGTATATATAAAATGAAAATAAATGAAAATAAATAAACAACAACAAACATCAGCCCAAAGCATAGTTATTATCTTCGTTCATTATCTACTACGTATATTTGTTCAAATATGTTTTTTGCGTGTTCATTTGACTGTGTATATTCATTAAACACTGCAGAATTTTACCCCCTCATAGTTATTGATTATTAAAATTCACTCAAAAACAAACATTTAACAGAAAGGTTTACACGTACATTTTCGAGAATTACGAATCTGTTTGTTAGTATCTGACAGAGCACATAGAAACTATAAACAAACTATTACATTTGAGTACAAAAAGTCGTATTTGCGTGCTTGTGTATACATTTACCCATTCTTCGTTAACATGTTTATGTTATGTCATCCTTTTGGTGTTATTTCCATATTATTTTTCAGTTCAACTTTCAGGGTTGTTGTTTATATTTATTTTTATTTAAATTAATATTTTAAATTATTTTTATAAAGTATAATGAATGATATTTTGTTTTAAATGTTATTATAATATATTTTCATAAATTTAATTTGAATTATGTGATATAATAATTAAACTATTATAAAACCATTATACCAACATTCATGTTACAAAAAAACATCAAAACTCGTTTTTATCACATGGAAGACTTGATTGTTAGTGACTACAAGTGGAAAGCAATGGGCCCCATCAACAAAGAAAGGAAAAAGTTCAAAAGGAAGGTTGCGAAGGTGGGTGCTGACTATAAAGCAGAATTTTGTAATCCGACTGCTTCTGACTTGTTTTTTGGGTTTTTTGACGAAAATTTAGTCGAAAAAATAACAGCATTTACCAACGCCAAATTATCAGGAAAAAAGGTAAATCCTAAATAACAAAAATAGACATTATACGATATTTCGGCATTTTACTATATATGGGAGCACACCACGACATAAAGAATCCAATTTCTGAGCTTTGGAACGAAAAACACTGGAAACCAAATATTTATAATAAAGCTATGCCCAGAAATGTTTTTCAACTTATCAATGCTAACATCGAGACTTACGATGTCACAACTTTTCCGGATGAAGTTGAGAAAGAGAGTTGTTTTATGGGTGATGAAGAAGAGAGTGAGGACAGTGCATCCGATGAAGAGGAAAATCCAGAGAATAAAGAAGAGACTGAAGAAGAAGACTATTTGAGTTGTGATGAGTGGGTCAAAAAACATTTTGTTGACCTGACCGAAGAGAAGCTAAAAAAGGATGTTGAAGTGAGACAAAAGTAAATGATGAAGAGACTATAGAAAAGGGGTTAATCAAACCATCAAACACGCCAAACTCAAATGACAAGTTTGGCAAAATTAGGGAAGTGTTGGAAGCTTTTATTCACAACTTAGTGAACAACAAATACTTTACACCGAGCACCACACTATCGGTTGATGAACACCTTTGCGCATTCAAGTGAAAGATATGGGCAAAGGTATTCATCAAGTCCAAACCTCAGCGTTACGGCATCAAGTTTTGGGTTTGTTTTTTTTGTTGTAAGAATAATCAATGAAGTCGGAGATTCACGATGTTGAAACATATACATCGGTAATTGACTTGTTGTTGATATTGTGTTTGATAATATGTTCAATGAATAACAAAAAGATGTGCTGTGATTGTGAAAGTGGTATGGTTATAAACCTACAGATGTACTGTGGAAAATGCGACAAGAAGGAAGAAAATCAAGGATTTCGGGTGACGATAGATATGGTAGCTCCGCAACTGTGTATGGGAAAGTTTGTGACAGTTGTATGTGACAACTTTTTCTGCAGCTTAAGATTGGCACATTATTTGGCTCAATATGGTTCAACATTGCTTGGGACTGTGCGAAAAAACAGAGTTGAGGTACCAGAAGAAGCCAAGCAAATCAAACGGTACGACCCCAATGATGATAAAAAGGCTACTACAAGAGAGGCAGATTCAACGGAAGTGTATACAAAAGGTGTATGCAAATTGGTTTCTTTCTATAACGAAAAGAAGAAGTTGGTGCTCATTATGACGACGATGCATCATGCTAAAGAGTTGTACACCGTTCAGGAGCAAGTGAGGGGAAAGGATGGCAAACTTGTGAGTGTACACAAACCAAATGTGATAAAACAATACAATGCGACAATGGGAGGTGTTGATAGTGCAGATCAGATGATACATACTTACACTTGTAGAAGGCGCACTTCAAGATGGAATGTGAGAATACTTTATGATTTACTTGACATCGCTGCCCTCAATGCCTACAAGTTATATCGTCATCACCACGATAAGGTGGACAGGTTGAATTTCCTCAATGAATTGACAGAGTTATTGATGGAAATGGAGTAAAATACTTCTTTGGTTTTATAGGTTTTATTATAGTTAATAATCTATTTATTTTCTTTGTTATTTTTCTGTTTCTTTTGTGATCTCTGAAAATCATTTCTGTGTATCGTACAATAATCAAAGCGTTTTTTTTTACATATTTATAGGGGAGGGGCTTTGCTTTTTTTATAAAATTATTATTATTATACTAATCTTTTACTGTATTATTATACAAATAAATGATGTGATTACATAATTTCCAAATCTCTGACTCACATCACCCTGATTCTTCGTTTTTGTATGCTTTATCATTGATTTTAAATTTGTAAGGATAGCATCACTCTATTGAGTTGGTATATCAATTCAAAATAAAAGAATTGTGAATCTATTTGTTGGTTAGTTCCTGTTGTGTATCCCTGTATAAACGCCACAAACAACAAACAGTATATTCACTTCAAATAGCTATATATTGTGAAAGTGGGTGAGTAGAATACAAAATCTGGTTGATAAGCGTCACTATCTTATAAGTATATACATAAACTATACACTGTTTATCAGTAAATCTTTCGTTTTCATTAATTTTCTGGTTTTGATTTTCATCCCAAAAATGCATTTTCAAAAAACAAATGCCAAAACAAAAAAATAATCAGACAAAACAGATTATATGTTACCATTTGTTTTATAATAACAAACAAATACTTGTCTTTCCAATCATATAGAAAAATTTGCTCTCTGTATTCATAATACATTTGTCTTTTTTTGAAAAAGTCATATCTTTATTACTCACAACTGTAAGACATACGAAATTAAATAAACAAGGTGTCATGATCATTTAAGACAAATTTTAGTTTTACCGTCTTTATTTTACTCATTGAGTTGTTTATGACTCTTTTTCTATTCAAACTGATGTTTCTGACAATTAAAAATCAATCTTATTCATTTATTATTAAATTTAAAGGTTTTTATTGTTTATTGAATAAGAAAGAACTAAAAAATGTGATTTTCACAAAAGTGTATTTTCTTCTTATTTTTTCAGTTTTATATTTTACTCTTTTTTGACAAACTCGAATTATTTTATTTTTCACTGAATTACAAAAAGATGAAAAATAATTATGAGATCACAGTGTTGTTTGGTTTAATGTAATTGTTTTTTTTTTGAATATTCAAGGAATGATGTATCCCTTGTTTTTCAATAATAAATATTCAAATTGAAAAATCATATAATTCATTTTTACATTCTGAAACTCCTTTTCTAACGATTATTATTGTGTTTAGTTTAATATACTATAGTATTTTTTGATATAAAAACAAAAACTTTTTCAACTTGAAAAGAGAATAATCAGAGGAATCTTCAAGTCTCTCCAGTTGAAAAAAGTGAATTTTTTTTTCAATAAAAATACGATTTTAGGTTATAATTTACTATTAAATTATAATATTTTAAATTGTTGTTTACTAATAATTTTGTTTCCTGGTATTTCCCATGGTTGTTAAAAGTTTAAAGCGTTTTTCGCATTTATTTACTCTAAAATACACTCAAAATGAATAAAATTAAATTCAGTATATAATTTTTGGAAATTACTGGTCTTTGAAGGGTTAAAACTCGACACAAACAACACTATTTCAACATATTTTGATAAAAATTGAAAATGTTATAGAGTCATTCGATAAACGTTGTCTGTTCCCTAAAGTTGTCTTTTTGACGAATAAATAATTGATTTTTGTTTTTAAAAAAACGGGAATTAGGTAAAAATAAAAAACGGGGAAAATATTGAAACAATGATTTTTGAGGTTTTTAAAAAAACCCGAAATATTATATTTATAATGGTCTAAAAATCGGCAGACAACGTTACAGACCAGAAAAAGTTTAGCAAATGACTTAACATTTAAAAACCCAACACTTGAAAATGAAACGATTCAGAAAAAACGATTTGTTTTAAAAATACACTCCTTTGTTATTAACAGTTTTATTTGTTTTTAAAATGTTTCGATATAATTTCAATAATGCCAAGGAATCTGTCACTATCCTTGAAATATAAAAATAAACCGAACCTTTATTCAATCAACAACTAATTTTATTATGACCAAAGTGAGTCTTTTAACGATATCTAGTGAACAAAAAAGAGGTTTAATTTTGTCTAAACATTGGGCATTGTGTGAAAAAACTAAACAATTGGGATAAATTTTTGGGACGGCTTCCCAAATATTTCAATCTTTATATTCCAAAAGGTACCAGATAACGTTTAAAGACTGGCTGTATAATAAAATTCTTGGGTGCGAATCCTAAATAATTTAAATTTATTAAAGTAGTCTTATTGTATATTTTATTAATAAATAATTAAAAAAATAAAATGTAGATGTGTTAAGTTCGTGTTTAAATAATAGTCATCATTTTAACACTATTTTTTATATTAAGATTTAAGTATAATAATTTTACAACTTCTTTAACGTATAAACTTAAAGCTGCCATAATTTGTAAATTACTAAATATTTTTTGTTTGTTTTGTTTTTTAGAAAAATAAATAATCGGGAAATTAGCTTTTTTATTTTTTCAAAAAAATAACAATAATTGAATAGTAAATTTGTTATTTGGATAATAATTTAATATTAATTTAAAATTGATGCTAATTGAAAAACACACGTATTAACAAAACACTACTAAACACTACTTGTTATCAAAAAAATAAAAAAAAAGAATAACAAACAAATTAATTTTTATTTTGGCCAAGTGGTAAAAAACAAATAAATTATATTTTAAATAAAATAAAATAGTCCACTTCTTCATCGTGTTAAATACATATAATATTCACATTATCCAATACAACTTTTAAAATCAATTATAATTAAAAATAATTTACGGGCATAAGTTTGATAATTATATTGATTTAGTGAAAATGGTGAGGAAATAAATAACAGTAACCAATGAGAAATATTTTTTAGTTAAATATTTATCGAGTAAATGTTGTATTACAACCACAATTTAATAGTTGTCTACGTTGTTGGTATTATTAATTACAAATATTAATATTATAAATAGTCGATTTAAAAAGTAATGTGTCTCTATTTATTTACAACCAAAACAAAACTTTGTGTTTTGATTGAATTTTTATATTATTAATGATATTCAGTTTCACTTTGTTCAATTATTGAAATATAACAACATTTGTTCATAAAATTAGAAACATATTTATAATTTATTATTGTATTTATTTTTGATACTCTATTGACAATATAATATATTATTTTTTTCAACTCATTAAAATAGAATTTTTAATTATTCGTTTAAAGAAGCTAGCAAGATATCAATTTAAATTAACAAACATCAAATATTCAATTGTGTTCATGTATATTAATTGATAATTCATTTTTTTCAATTAAAACATAAATTATAATGACATTAAAATTTTTGATTTTATTTGTAACTTTTGTATAATTTCTATAATATGATAATAAAACAAACAAATATACATAATAATTAATACCATTTTTTATTGTATAACCATGGCGATATAAAAAATATTTAAAGTAAAGCTTATATTGATAATAGCATGTTATTAAATATTACTTATATTTTTGAAAAGTCTTTTAATTATTTTTGTTTAATTATACAACAAAAAAAATGTATTTTGATTAGACTACGACAGGTATGCTCCAGTTTAATGGATACACAATTCTTTTATAAATTGTTAATATTTAATAAAATGAATTGGTCTAATATTTTCATTATTAACTGTTACATTTTTATTAATAAACTTTGTTATAATATTTAAAATGCTTAAACCTTTTAATATAAACATGAAACATCAAACAAACGATATAAAGGAACACAATAAAATAAATGGATTATTTATATTTGAAATATTCTATATTTTAACAAAATTTTACACACACATGATAGCAAAAAAAAATGATAATTGTTTTTCATTAATAAGTTAATAATTGTATATGTATATCAAAAACACCTATATTTTGATATTCAAAGTCAAAAATAATTAATTTCGTAAAATTGATATACTATAATTTCTCTTTAATAGTTTTTAGTAATAACATTTTCAATAAAAGGATTTAAACAATCATAATAAATAACAATTAATAAAAGGAAAGAAATACACAATTTTAATATGGATTATTGAAAAGGTTTAATTTTACTGTTTTATCCACGATGAGTGTTTTAACTGTTATTATATATTTATCAATTATATTGTTTTTGTTTTTGGTAATAATTTTAAAAATATGCCGGATGAATATTTGTTTAACAAAAAATAACACAAAATAAAAATATTTCAAAATAAAATATAAAAAGTTTTGTAAAGTTTAATTTTTAAGTTTTGTCTTGATGATAATTTAGTAATTAGATTACCAAGTAATTTAACTACTTGGTAATCAAATTACTGAAATTACCTATTACTGAGTAATTTAGTAATTCAAATATTATTGCAGCTCTAGTGTAAACGATTTACTTGTTATATTTATGAATAAACTTATAATTGTTTATTGTTTTTATTTTTGTGTATGTATCATATGATAAATATATTGTATTAAAGCGTTTTATTGTAAAAACGTTTTTTTAAGTATTGTTTTTATTAACACCCAACTGTATAAAATACATTAACTTAAATTGTTATTTTCATCTATTAATACATTTGTTTTATAAGCAATCACAATAAAATATTTTAACTTAAATTTATATAATAAGAATTCGAATTGTGTGTAATAATTGACGATTTTTTAAAAACTACACAAGAAAGTAATTAAAATTTAATAATGTATGATTTAAACTTCTAATGTGTGTAATAAATTAATGAAGTGTTTTTTGCTATTTAAATTTACAAATACTTGTTATGATCATGGTTAAACTTGACTTAGTTTGTTTGGAGAATCTAGCTGCAAATATCACTCAAGAAGAAGTATACAAGAATTGCTTTATCAGTAAAGCGACTCGTAGTGCCCTTGAAACACTCAAAATCATCATTTTAAAAACAAGCCCATGCAAACAGCTTGTTGAAAGAAGAATACTCGGGTTAACA